GCCGTTTATTATTAGGGAGAGGGGATTAGCTGGGAACACCTTCCTTTCTCTTCTCTCCCTTTCTCTCCCTCTCTCTTTCTTTCCTTCTCTTTTTCCTCTCTTTTCCCTCTTCCTTGGGCGTCCCTGGATGCTTTCGTCATAGCTGGGAGCCCTTCCTTTTTGGTGTGTCCTTGGACGCTTGCGCCGTAGCTGGGAACACCTTTGCTTCCTTCTCTCCCTCCTTCTCTTTTCCTCCTCCCCTCCCCCCTCTTTCCTCGTGCGTGGCGTATTTACAAGCAAACTAGGCTTTTGCAACAGGTTTCTCAATAAGGTTTGGACTGTCATCGGTTTGCCCCCTTTCATTTGGTTCCCCTTTCATCCGCCCCCACAGACTTTTTTTTCCTTCTTTCCTTTCATGTCCTTCTGTCTTCATGTCTCTTCATCCTCATCCTTTCTTTCTCTTGCGCGCACAATCGTCCGGACCTTAGTTTGCACACATACACGCACGTGTACTCTACTTACAACGAGGTTTAGGTGGCCCAGGTTCGTTACAATGAGGTGTGGCTCACCGGTTGTCCCTCTTCACTTGGTTCCTTTTCATCGGCAACCACACACACACACCTTTGTCTGTCTTGTCCTTTTCATTTTCATCTGTCCCTTTTGCGTGCACATGTGCCTACCTCCTTTCCGGGCAGGATGGAGGTCACATGCCTCCCTTCGGGGAGGCGTGTGTGTGTGTAACCCTTGGAGTCATAGGGATCCTTCTGGATTCGCTTAGTTTTTCATATAAGGGGGTGCAAGCAGCCCATCCAGTCTTGCACCAACGAAGACACTGGATGTGTGCTGGTGAAATCAATCCGGGACGCCGGATTGACGTACCTGCTTTGAAATGAACCTACGTAAATGCCAAGCTGTCTCATTCTTTGTTGTGCAGTAAGCGTCTAATGCAGCGGTGATTCACTCCAGATTGTGAGCTCGACTTTTCTGCACGAACGTCGTCACCTGGTCGTCCGCTCGATCGATGTTTTCTTTTGGAGTTGCTGGCCACCTGAAACTCTTGGGACCTCCGCTGGATGGACCTCCTTTTCTTTTCTTTTTTAGGTTTCATTACCTGTACCCTTAGGAATTGGAACCCTAGGCCGGCGTGTGGCACCGCTATCACATCAGTACGCATATCCATGAGTGTGTCAACCCCTGTTCCTAAGGGTTTTGGTTTCTTGCATTCGCCTAAGTAATCACATGTCCACGTCTTGCGGCTAAGTATTCACAGGCCGGGCATCTACATGCATAGGCACACACACAACCCCCCTACCCTGGGCCTCGTTGCTACCCCACCCGCTATTCGGGCAACAGAAGGAAATCGCACTCAACACACTTGTGTGTTGGTGCCTTTCCTTAGCTATTGCTAGCTACCCGGGCGGTTTAAGACAAAATGTCCCGCTCGCGCTCTACTTTCATTTAACTAAATGGGCCTCGTAACTACACCTTTCTTTCCTTCTTGCCCTCTTAGTCTGCTTTTGTTTTGTTTGCTTTTTTCTGTCTTTCTAAGGCTTTTTAGGTCGCTAGTAGTCTTCACAAAAAGCGCCAATATTGGCGCTATATGTACACAGTTTTGCGACCGGTGGACACCAACGACGCTACTAGGGGCTTCTGGCCTCTGGTGTAAGGACGCTACTAGGGCCCCTGGCTTTGCTACTAAGGCCTCCTGGTATCGCTACTAACTTACAGTCTCTCAACGCAGAAAAATGAGGCAGGGGGACAGAGCTCTCTGATGCTACTCTGTCCAACGAAGCTATGCATCAGAGAGGGAAGCATCCACTGGCCATGGATGTGTACCTGCCCAGTCTTTCACAAGCTGTCCACCCCACTTTTCCGCGGTTTGATTCATGGTTCTTCATGTTTTTCCACCCCAGAAACAGGTTTCTGTCAGCAGCCGTCCGCAGCCTTGCACCGCGCCGACCGAGTGACCGATCGTCTCTGCAGACTTGAACAACAATTTTTTGAAACACCTACAAGTTTTCGGACCTTTCACCATGCGGTTCTGTCACCTTCTTTCCCAGCGTGGGCACTGAGTGTAACTGAGAACCAGAGTCAGAGTGTGTCTCGCTCAGCCGTCCCACTTGGGTGCTGAGTGTGATCCTCCGCAAGGAGGCGCCGTTTCATTCGGGAAATCGTGTAACTGAGCTTTTCCACCTTTCACAGGAACTCACCACTTGACCAACCTTAACTGAATTTACTGCTTCCACGGCGGCCGGGCCAAAAAACGGGACGCATCGACCAGCTGAGTTCGTTCTGCATCGGTTTTGTTCCTTCCTTTCGTGCACCTAATTCGATATACTTTGAAAAAAGCGCCGGTACGGCGATTTGTGTGTGTCAACCCCTGTTCCTAAGGGTTTTGGTTTCTTGCATTCGCCTAAGTAATCACATGTCCACGTCTTGCGGCTAAGTATTCACAGGCCGGGCATCTACACGCATAGGCACACACACAACCCCCCTACCCCTGGGCCTCGTTGCTACCCCACCCGCTATTCGGGCAACAGAAGGAAATCGCACTCAACACACTTGTGTGTTGGTGCCTTTCCTTAGCTATTGCTAGCTACCCGGGCGGTTTAAGACAAAATGTCCCGCTCACGCTCTACTTTCATTTAACTAAGTGAGCCTCGTAACTACACCTTTCTTTCCTTCTTGCCCTCTTAGTCTGCTTTTGTTTTGTTTGCTTTTTCTGTCTTTCTAAGGCTTTTTAGGTCGCTAGTAGTCTTCACAAAAAGCGCCAATATTGGCGCTATATGTACAAAGTTTTGCGACCGGTGGACACCAACGACGCTACTAGGGTCTTCTGGCCTCGCTACCAGGAGCCAGGACCTCTGACCTTTCTACAAGGTGTAAGGACGCTACTAGGGCCCCTGGCTTTGCTACTAAGGCCTCCTGGTATCGCTACTAACTTACAGTCTCTCAACGCAGAAAAAGAGGCAGGGGGACAGAGCTCTCTGATGCTACTCTGTCCAACGAAGCTATGCATCAGAGAGGGAAACATCCATTGGCCATGGATGTGTACGTGTCGAGTCTTTCACAAGCTGTCCACCCCACTTTTCCGCGGTTTGATTCATGGTTCTTCATGTTTTTCCACCCCAGAAACAGGTTTCTGTCAGCAGCCGTCCGCAGCCTTGCACCGCGCCGACCGAGTGACCGATCGTCTCTGCAGACTTGAACAACAATTTTTTGAAACACCTACAAGTTTTCGGACCTTTCACCATGCGGTTCTGTCACCTTCTTTCCCAGCGTGGGAACTGAGTGTAACTGAGAACCAGAGTCAGAGTGTCAACTCTTGTTTCTAAGGAACTCGACCACACTAAGGCATGCAGGAATCAATCAGAATTCGTAAAAATTGTACAGCGCATGCAGGGGGCAGTGGTTCTTTCAGCAGTCGCTGCCTAACAAAGACACTGCTGATCGGATGTGATATGACTTTGGGACGCCAAAGTCACATACCCTGCAGCAACTGTTTAACCCCTTCTAAAGTGCTAACGCGTCTTGTTGAAACATTCAGTTTGACGGACCCAGCATTTCCTGCAGTTCTTTCAAGTCAAGCGCTACGTATTCACCTATAGGGCTGACGCACTGGGACATCATAACTGGTTTAGCTTTTGCGAGTCTTTATCTAAGTGTGTCTCGCCACAGAGTCCCACGGGGCTGTGGTGTGATCCCCAGCGAGGGGCGCGTTTTGCACATGCCCTCAAGGGTGAACCTCCCAGGCATCATCGTTTCTGCACTGGAGCTTCGTTGACTTAGCATTTCTGCTCGAGAATGCTGATCCTATGCCGCAGGGCCCACTGAATTCTTCACAGAATGTCATGAATCATGCGTCTAAGTGTTCATAGGATCTAGGATTGCCGCTAAGTACAGTAGTCACTTTTCGGTTCTTTCTTCGTTTTCAAGGATTTTTCGTTTTCTAGAGGCTTTTTAGTTGTAACTGAAGCCTTTTAGTCAAGTGCGCGCCGGTTAGGGCTTCTTGTCAAAAGCCTTCGGGCCTGCAACCCCTCCCCCCCACCCCACACCCCTCGCACCCTTTCGTTCCTTGCCTTTTTCGTTTGCTTGGGCTTTCCTTGAGGCTTGCTGGGTCGGCGTTTAGGCTCGTTTAGTCAACGCACGCCCTGCCCACACCCCCACACCCCCTGCACCCTTTCCTTTCCTTTCTTTTCTTGTCTTTCCTTTTTCGCTTGCTTGCGTCTTTCTTTCAGTCTCTCTAGGTTGACGTTCAGGCTCGTTTAGTCAACGCACTGCTCCCCCTCCCGCAGACCAAAAAAGACCGTGCGTCGAATGACGGCTTGCTGTGTGTGTCAACTCCTGCATGCTTCTAAGGAACTCGACCACACTAAGGCGCGCAGGAATCAATCAATCAGAATTCGTAAACATTGTACAGCGCAGGGGGCAGTGGTCCTTTCAGCAGTCGCTGCCTAACAAAGACACTGCTGATCGGATGTGATATGACTAAAGTGCTAACACGTCTTGTTGAAACATTCAATTTGACTGACCCAGCATTTCCTGCAGTTCTTTCGAGTCCAGTGCTACGTAGTCACCTAAAGGGCTAACGCACTGGGACATCATAACTGATTTAGCTCTTGTGAGCCTTTATCTAAGTGTGTCATGCAATGCCAATCCCCTTCTTGGCAGTTCGTCGAACTCGGTGTCACTCATCTCGTGGCCAAGTCTCTTTCCAAGGATCTGATCAGATCAGGCCAGCCTCGCTCGGCCAAGGAACGCCGCCGCATGTTTTCTTTCGCGGGCCGTAGGCTCGCTCTTCTCAACGTGAGGTTTTCACAACAAGCGGATATTGGGGATGCTTAAGGAAACTGGAAAAACATATAATATAAACACATTATACATATAATAAATATAAATATATTATAATCACCAGAACGGGATTTAACCATTGGGCAAATAGATAAATCAAACACCTACTTCAGCAGAACCAGGGGATTGAAGCCATGGCTCCAAGAAATTCGGAACTCGACGCCAAATTCATGGCAGCACTGACCAGTCTTCCATGTCTTCGCCTTGCTTTGAACACCTGTTTTAACAACATAAAAAGACACAATTACATGGTTGCCTCCAGCTTGTGAGTGTTCAAAACTGATGCGTGGAGGAAATCCACGGCCCGAACGCCTCAACGGGACGGGGAAGATCGGCCTTCAACAAAAACGCTGAGTTATGCTGAGTTCATCAGACGGATCGATGTGGGGGATCTCCTCATCGCCCATCATGGCCAGTCCAGGGTGCTTCCAAGATGTTCTTTTTGATCTGACAAAAGGGTCAATGATGGTCAATGTAGGACATCCCATCGCCTGTAACAGTCGATATTCAACAAGAAATAGATTCTTGAGAAGGACTCCTTATAAGGTCCAATGTAGGTCCATGATCCATGATTCACCCCAGAAATCGGTTCATCGATCGACCCAAAATGCGCCTGCAGTCGCTCTCGGCAAAGACTCCAGTTGCGATCCTGGACGAGGTTCGAGTTGCGAACAAGGTTTTTTGAGCATTTGACTTAATCATTGGATGCTTTTGCGGCTGGTGCCCAGACCCCAGAGTTCCGCTTTCCAGTCAATATATCGATGCACGCTTACACTGTCCCATAGCCTTCAAAGACCACTGAAAACATGGTTGACCTGGTCTGGTAGTGCAAAACTCTTAGTAGAACAATGGTTGTTCGGCAAGGGCTAAGAAGTCAATGGTGCCAAACAACACGATCACCTCATTAGTTCCTCATGCCAACCAATGCTTCTACGCGATCCATCCACCTTGGCCCCAAAAAAAGGACATGGATCACATCAATAACTTCTGAAGCCACCAACAAGCGAAAACCACCGATAGAACATCATGGAACCTACTACGGAACCGAACCTAAACATGGACAACAAAAAACAAAAATAATGTGAGCATGGGATGTCAAAATTTAGACTTATATATTCTAACTTAACTATATCGTTGCTTGTCTTTAAGGTGTTGACCACAGTCACACCTGGCCTTTAGATGCATTTTCTCGGTTCACCCACACATCTGGCAACTGTCTAACATCAGCGTCTTCCTCCCACCCTTCGGCGGTTTCATCTACCAACATCTACCAACCACCTCAAAATCGACTCCAAAAAATCGGCCCTGCTCCGCTGAAAATCACAGGAAACACCTGGAAACAAGTGGATCTCAACACATCGCCACTCATCTCAGGATGGAGAACTGTCCTAAACATCCCCCAAGAAGCGCCTCACCCGCGCACGAACACCAAATTCCCATCAACCAGTCCCATTTCACACCTCAAATGAATGCCGAGTGTCTGGTGCACCAAGCTCTTCGCAGCGAAGAAGCTGAAGCGTCGCAAAGGGCCTTCTCCAACTCTGCGCCGCTTCCTCGAAGCGTTCGGCGGCGGCGATACGCCGAACGAAGAAGTCGATGGCGTTCGGCATCCGAATGGAGGGTTAGGAGGGCCATGTTCGGGGAAGTTGAAGATCGCGTCTCTATACCAAAGGGGGCCAAAAGGCACGAACTGCGGTGTAGACCAGAAAATCAAGAACATCCACGAACGAACTGCTGATCAGCTGGATGTTTGGTCAATTGGTTCGTGTTCTACGTCGCTGATTTGATCCCAGGCGGGTCTGCTCGTGGAGGATCCTTGCGACAAGGATCCTTTCGCCGCTACCAGCATCTTCAGCACAGTGCTCGTCAACTGCACTGCCTGGGAGGCCCGCGGCCCCCGGAAAGACGTGGTCGAAAATAAAGGTCAAAACCCACATCCAGCTTTTCTGGTTTCGTCCTCAGATGGTCGACGCTGTCGAAGTTGGTTACTTTTGGTAATGATACAGTATCATTTCACTTCAGATTTCACGTTCGCAACCTCCTCGTTGGTCACGTTTCTTAATGGCGCGCGAGTCCCAGTGATGAGATCGCCAAAAACAAGCTCGCTATGATCACCATGTCTGGTTTCTTTGGGGTCAAGTCATCTAAAGTTATCCGAATGTATAGAATGGGTCAAAAGGTGTTGTCTGGTCTTGTATGGTCAAAGAGCCCTGCCGTCCTGCCTTAATGTTGGTGCTCTCCCCGAGCTCTTTGACGATCGAGACCATGGTGGAGGTGAGGAGTTCATCTGGCCGGTCCTGCACGCCGTGTAGGAACACAAGACTAGTCAGGTTTCTAGATCCTAGCTGGTCTGGAGACATAAGGCATGTTCGATGTTGAAGCATTTGATTGAACTGTGACCAGATTGGAAGCAGTTACATGTATGGAAAAGGGGAAAGGGAGAACGGAAGCCAGCAAACTGAAACTGTACAAGGGTACAGTTTCGGGCGCAAAGTTTAAACAATGACAAAAGGAGCCTTTATGAGGGTGAAAAAGAAAAGATTGGTATTAAACTCAACCAAGCTAGGTGGTAGCAAAACTTCTGTAGAACATACGGCAGAGATCCAATCGCGTTCTGCAACGAGCTGCGGCGACACTGGGCAAAGTTAAATGCTTCAACCAGCAGTTTCGAATGAATGCCTATTAGAGGATAGTGGTGCCTGGAAAACCCACTTTTGGGGGGGACTCAAAACCACCTGTTTGTGATTACTTCAATGTATTTCATTTGAGTGACCCATCGAGTTCAAAGTGACTGAGGGATGCTTAAGGTGCCTTCTTGCCAACCCGACTTCCCCAGCTGGCCGCTACTGCTTCCAACTGCAATTCTGAAAACCAAAAGCTTTATAGAACTTTAGTGAACCTTTCAGCTTTGCAGTTCGCAGCTATATCAGGTGAACCATAGTGAGCCTAAAACCAGGCCATATCAGGCTTCTCCAGACCCGATACTTCCCTCGCTACTGACTCCTATGACTCCTATATTACAGTACTATAGGGAGAGCCAACCCTGATTCATAGGCAAATACTCAAGGCAAACGCTCTGCGTGGTGATTACCCACTAGTTTCATGGGCACTGGAAGCCTCCACTCAAAACAAACCCGAACCAGTTTTTCGAGAATCGATTGGTTGCTGCAAATAACCACAGAGTGAAGGCGATCGCCGGTCCAGCAACCCCTTGAATGGAAACGTCGAAACTTCTGGTGTGAGGGGAGAGTATAAGCAACTCACCCCCCCAGTGTTCTTGGAGTGCGCCGCGAAAATATCTGATCTGAATGTACCTCTGTATTTTCTTGGCTTTTCCGGCGCCCCTGGCAAATATTACTAAAAACATGGAACATCCCCCGGATGCTCGCCAACGTCCAGCGACGTGAAGGAGTTTCCTGTTCGTAGAGGTTTAGCTGCACTTGAAAGAGAATGACAAAAACACACAAGCAACACTGTCCCTGGCCCAATCAGCGTTCAACATCTTACTTTGCATTGTAAACATGGTTGCACTTGACAGAAATCAAAGGGTCGCAAACAGGGTGTAGCATTTCCAGCATCTAACAGGTTCTTTTTGCAGCACTTTGTTGGGAGTGTTTCAAAGCCTCAAAAGAACACAGCAAAGACCAACAACAGCCGCTAAACATCTTGAAAACGCTCACAAGTCATTGCTCATGTGGTGCTTTTGCCTGCGCCAAGCCTGGTCTCCGTGTCACTGACAGGCCCGGGAATGGCTATGATTGTTGCCAGACACTGCGCAGTTTAGCCCGACCATGCGAGGCCACACTGAGACTTACACTAAGCCACAGTCACTGAGCCACGTGGATGGCATAGGCTCCGAAAGGAAGACCCTTTTGCTCTACAAACAGGGGAGGGTTCCACATGGTTCCACATCCACTAAATCGGGGGTGGGTGCTTCTCCACCCGTCCTTCGGCAGGCGCTTCTCCACTTCGGCCAGCGAGGCGGCACACATCATGCTCGCCACCAGTGAGGGAATGTCCTGGAAAGCAAGCACCATCATAGTGGAAAGAATCATATCGTATCTGATTAATGGATCTGAAATTGTTCCAGAACCGTATGGTCTCCAACCACGATTATTCAAAGCTAGCTCTGGGTATGTGACGTCCGCTCCTGAGGCTCACAACACACACCTATCACTTAATCTGGTCCTTCTCCTCAGAGTCCGCCACATTCTCTTGGAACCAGCTCTTTGCCGCCAATCCCTTCAAGAACCTCAATCGACGCAACGAAAGATTTGGAATGACTTGGAGCAGCCCTGAAACAAATAAATACAGTAAGTCAGCTGATTGCATGATCTACATTGATCTATGCATAAGTCATCAGTGTCAGAACTGAAAACTGAATGGCGAGCACCTGCCATTTCCTGACCCAATCATGACTTGGCTTGTTCCGGTCTTCACTCACAAAATCATGTTTCGGTGCAAGTGACTGCTCCAGCTTCTTGAGGAAGCCAGCCTGGTAGAAGCTGCTGATCATTTTCAATACGACCTCCCGCTTCCTAAGCTGTTTGACAGCAAGTCTCAGTCTGAGATCATCCAGCTGGCCCCCATTGCCATGGGGGGTAAATATAAATATCCAATGACCAAAAACAGTTGATGATGATGATGATGATTTGTAAAGATCTAAGATCTTGCTCAATAAAGTCGCGATCATCTCTTACCGACTCTTACTGGCTTACTAGGTCCCACCCACCGGCCAACCGGCAGGAGCCAAGCGACAGCTTCTCAGATGAAAGATTGGCTGCCGCCGCCAGCTTCGTGAAGAGCTCCTCGTCCGTGCGCGTCGCCGCGACGGCGCTTCTTGAAGCGCCGCTGGCGTAGCAAGCAGCGATGGTAGCCAAGTTCAAGAGGTTCCAGCCATTGGCTTCCCTCATGTCCTAGGTTTGTCACACGTATCAGTCTGTTGGGCTCACCATCCTGCTCTGCAAATCAGCACTGGCCGGCAGTCCGTTTCCCGAAACTCTAGGTTTGTTCCTTTTCTGGTGCAGGAATACAGTAAATATTATATCAACAAGTAAAATACAAAATATACGAATATATACTCATGATATCTGATGACCTCTTTTAGTCCAACACGCGACGCACTCAAAAAACAAAAACCGCAGAACACCGACGCGAACGACGACGCGAAACGCTCCCGACCGGTCACGCGCACGGCGTTCAAACGCGAGCGACGCGAGCGACGCGACACGCGAGCGTGGGCGGGTCCAAGACTCAGTCGCCACGAGCACCTGCACCGGTGGAGCAAAACGTCAGGTTTCAGGTTTCAGGACGGGAGGACGGGTGGACCGGTTTCGGGAGCGGAGAAGAGGTGCGCCGTCTCGATCTGAGAGTCTCGATCCCCTCCGATCGGTGGGACACGAAGGTTTGGTGAGGTTTTTGGGGGGACGTTTGACCTATTAGATGCCAAACGTAAGACCCTGAAACACAAAAAACCAGTGAGGAAGCGGGCTTGATACCGGAAAAATAACAAAAGGAAACGCCAAAGGTTGCAAACCCAAAGTAGCCCGCATACCACGATTCCGTTTTCGTGACTCAAGTGTGGAGTAGACCTTCTGGGGTCAGTGACAGCTAGAGTGAGGAGTGGCTTAGGTAAAATTCAACGAGGCCCTTGGATTTGTTTACCATTTTTGTTCTATTGATTTGGTGTGTTTGTTTCTATCTTTTTTGAAAAGATGTCAGGGTTCAATTGATCTGATGACCTGATGATGGGATCTCGTTGGCGAAGAGGTGTCCAAGGGTCAAAAATTCTCTGGGAGCCCTCTTGACAAAAGAACACAGACCAGGGCCAGAGCCGATGTGACTGCGCTACCCGGCTACCCGGAAGAAATGATGCCAACATCTGTCAGCTACCTTCCTCCAAGACTAGTGATTTGTGCACTGCAGCCACTCGAAACATCTGTGCCTTCGACACTTGTGCCAGGCCCCGCTGCGCTGCGGCCACGAAGCGCTGGGAAGGCGACACCGCACGGCTGAAGGTGAGGGTCGCGAACGCATCGGCCAGCCGAGCCAAGCCAGAAGGCTCGCGGGCGGCATCACCAAGGGCCAAATGTTCGCAAGCCGCGGCCAATTTCTCAAAGGCCTGAAGTAGGGGGAACTGTTGGACAGTTGCTCACAAAAAACCTTTGGCTGGTTGGGTGGATTTTGGTTGGGGGTAGGCTTTCCAAAACGAAGCTGCTAGTACCCTCCATTCACTTCGACCCAACTGACCCAAAGGAGAAAGGCAAAGCGCTCACCTCGGTCACCAATTCGATGTGCTCCTCGATAAAGGGCGACACGAGCTTGTACAGATTGGCAAGTGCTGCACACAATCCCGCGAAAGGCTCGAAGCTGCTGTAGCCAGGTGACAGGCAAACAGGACATGCCTTCTTCTTATCAAACAGCTCGATGCTCACTCGCAAGGCTGCGGAGGCCACAAGCAGCTTGTCTTGCGCAGTCTTTCTCTCTTGGAATACATCCAAGAAAGGTCGTCGACCAGCTGACAGCACGGAATCGTGCACCACCTGAAGCGGAGCCCAACAGGCGCCTCCCGACTTCACTGGGCCGTCAAAGGCTTCGTGCATATCACAGGCCGCTGCTTGCATGAGCATCACCAAGGCCTGATTCTCCAGTGGACTCGTTGGACTGTGAAGACTCACAATCGCCCCCGTCACCTGGAGCTGACCGCGCCAGTTGGAGCAGACATGTGGCACGGCACTGCTCGTCACTCGTTTAAGCCCGCTGGCTTAACCCGAACAATCCATGGGACTGAAATATTTGCCATCGGGCTGGCTTTCATGATGTTTTCAGAGTTATGTAGTGTTAAGAGTCCATGTGTAAATCTTCCAGTCTCATGGATTGTCTTAATTATATACAGCTAGGCTATATCGAAGTTCATCACTTCGGTTTGGTGACTTGGAGCATCGGGCGCAAGAAATGAAATGATTCTTGTAACCTCCCCACTCCCAGGCGCACACAGCTCAACCATCTTGAAATCAACTTGGCACATTGGTGATGTCGGCTGTGGGTCGACACGCCTTCCCTGGCGCGCGCTGTGTTTCCGCGTTGACCCCACGGTGGCCGGACCTGAGCTGCGTTAAAGGGGTGCAGCTCTTCAAGAAGTTCCGCCGCCAAGACATGCTTTCCGCCGCCTGTCGTGCGGCGCTCGTGCGCACGCTCCATGAGGCGCTTCACGATCACCGGAAGCGCTCCTGGAAGCTGAAGCGCTTCCGCTTCCGAGGAGGACGCCGCGGTTTTTTTGCGTGTCACAGCGGCTGGCTCTGTGTTGAAGTGCAATGAGTAGTGCAGCAAGCTCTTTACCTTCACAGCTTCGTGGGAGATCCTGGAGGCGTGGAGAGAGCTCTGCGAGCACTGCCTCAGCAACACGCCTCTCCTGCATTCGGAGCTTTTCCCGCTCTCTTTCGAGACTCCTCAATTCAGCTCTCTCACGTGCACTGGGAGTGAGCCTCACACGTGGCACTGACTCGGACTCGACCAGCTCAAAGGAGTGCCTGTGCTGCTCGTACCAGGTGCGATCGAGCTGGTCACCAAGTCCACTCCGATGTTTTCTCTGCACAAGGTCCAAACCTTGGATTGGGGGAAGCCGGCCCAGTCTTCCGTTTCAGGGTTTGACCCATACCAAAACAGGAAGATCATAATAAAGCAAAACCAGGAAACTGGCTGAATCTCCCTGCGGCAGCTTGAGCTCAAAGATCTGATCCTCCACTTCCTCCACCAATCGAACCGGCCCAACCGAGGGGTCGCCCGCAACGGGGTCGCCGGGCATGGTGGTCATTGAAACCTTCCGGAGGCCCTTATGGGTGTCCACCTCAAAGGTTGAGCCCAGGCAATGCTTCCTCGGGACAAGTGGGAATTGCTTGAAGAACAATTGGCCCGTGAAGACCAACATACAGGGAAAATCATGAAAACAGATTTTCGTGAATGAAACGGTTTCAGCATGCTCCAGCATCTTCCCATCTTTCGAAACATGTCAACTATCCCAGAAAACTCAAGCTTTTCAGCACAAACACTTGAAACATCTTGAAGAACACTCGTCGGGCTTCAGACTCAAGGTCATCACCTCTGGCACTTCATGCCACTCCACTGGCAGGATCACTGAAGAGGGAAGGACCTGCATGCGAGGTGAGAAAGGCAGTCACATTTGAAAGACACATCACCCCCAAAGAACACTCTCCGGCGGGGAGCTCAACCCCGAGGGTCTCTTAGTTTAATTTTACTGTAATATATATATATAATATATATGCCATCACGTTACATTTAGTTTTCTATTGGTTCTGTTCTGCGCCCAAGCCACCTTGCACAAGTGTTGCCAGAACATTGCCAAACTCCCTTTGGGCCGCAAGAGCTCTTCCCACTGGTGCCATTGTCCATCCTGAACTAGCAAAGGGGTTAATGTTCTGAGGGGAATTACTTTTAACAAGAGTTATCATTAGTAATGCCAAAATAAAGAAAACATGTATGAGTCTGTGTAACTATGTTACACGTCGAAAGGATGTCAAACAACTTATATATTATAGCTAATGTGGTCTGCATTTAAAGGGCTGCGCGTCCATGCATAAAATACAAGAAGAAGGCATTCAGCATCGACCGCGAAAACACATAAACCTCGTCTAGCCCAGGCTCAGATGGCACAGCATCCTTGGCTGCAATGAAACCCCTCGATCTGAGAAAAAGACCATCGGCGCTGTCCAAGAACGGCCCCAAACGCATCATCGTTTGCACTTGCGCATCGTTGGCAATGCGATGATTCACAACGGCCCTGGCTATGGATGTGCTGCTGGAAGCCAATGAAGCAAAGGCACACGCCAAACGCGCCCTGGCAAGCACGTCCCCTGACTTTTCACTGTACTCAGCATAGACCGCCCCTGAAGAAACGCTTCGCGCCAAAGCGGTGGTGAACTGAAGGTTGGATTGCAAACATCTCACAGCCAGCTCCACCAGTGTCAGCTGGGCCGGAGTGGACAATTGCAAAACGTGCTCCATCATACTGCGGCTTTCAGCAGCATCAGGCTCGCGATTCATGGGCGCCAAGCCTGTCATGATGGAACTGATCAAAACACATGCTACCAGTTACCAGTAGTTCAGTTTCGACATCTTTCGCTTCAGCATGACTTGGTCACCTAATCACCTAACCCACTTTCTAATTTTCAGATTCAAACCCACAACTCATCAACACAACCAGCGGCATGTCGAATCAAGTTGCCTTGAATGTGATGCAACTCACATGCATGCGCATATTGCCATGCATCCAGCTGCTGACCATCTGGGAGCCTGGAACACACGACCCAACTTTCGTACCGAATTCGGAGCACGGATCGACCAAGGACCTGGACCCGTTCAAGTACCCTAAAACATGGGACAACAGGTACGACTGCTCCCATTTTCCCAGCGACGAACGGGTCGACTCCAGTATCTGCTGTGTGATGAGACTCCCACACTCGTCTTCGACTCAGAAGCGTCACTTTCACGATTGAAAGGAAGGCAAGACATGGTGGTTTGTGATTGTAAAGGTCACCTGATTCTCCCAAACATTTGATCGTGAAGATTCAACATCTACGCTTCCTCAAACTATTGGAAGTGGAGCATGTTTCCTTGGAAGACCATAACACCAAACAGCTGATTCTGCACTTCCATGTTTTAGTACCAGGAAGAGTACAGGACTGGACTGGAACAGGCAAGTGGCCGGACTTTAAGGCAAACCACCGAAAAGCGCTTACTTTCGAGCGGCCGCGCAAAAAAAACACGCAGACTCTCTGGAAAGGGTCGTTGGCCGCGGTTGGACCCTGATGCACCCACTGAATACATCCCCAAGCCTTCCTGGTCTTCCCTGCCGGGTAGCTGGACAAGTCCATAGAAGTCCATCCACCACTGCAGTTGTTGCACCGCTGCGGGCAGCGCCGTGGCCGGGCCGCGAGCAACGATTCGGTCATGCGCCACTTGGCTGATGGAGGCACCGAACCTGAGGTCTTCCAATGGCGGTGCCCTCGACCAGTGGCGCGAAGATGGGAGACTGACATAGCCTTTTTTCTTGAATGCAATGAATGCAAAATAGGATTCAGGAACAAACGGTTCTTCAATGTACCAAAAGGGAAAAATAAGAATTTTGGTTGGGAATCAAATCTGAACGGCTGCCGAAACCTTTCACTATACTTCTTGTCCGGTTGACTGCCACAAGAGTTGCGGCAAAGCAAGGACCATCCTGGGCACGACGTCGAGGCGGTTGCTGGGCACAATGAAGATCAGTCCACCAGGAGGAGCACGAAGACCAGTGAGCTCATCGATGCACTCTCTAAGCCGTTGTCTTCCTGCTTCCAGACTAGCCCCCGCTGGCGCCACGATCAAGACGACCTGCGAGTTGCGAGTTTGGCCGCGATCTGACAAATCAAAGTTGAGGCCCCAAAAACGTTTTGTCTCGAAAAACCGTCATCCGGTGCAAGGGAGCCACTCCACAAGTAGGGCTGCGAAAAAGGTGATAGCCACTCCCAAGAGCAGGCCTGGTGCGCCCCATTCGCGCGGATCTTGCACACGAGTCGAACAACGAAACCATGGCAAACCTCTCTGATTCCCTGGATCGTTCCATGTGCGTCCTTCCCAACTCAAAAGTGTCTGAAAGGATTACACATACAGTTCAGGCGTGTGACACCTCACCTCTCACCTTGGTTCAGCCTTCATGAAAAGCCCTTGTTTTTGCTTGTGAAGGTCACAGTACCGCAAGACGTTTACTCGAAATCGACGTGACGGCCCGGCCGTTCAGGATGGTTATTACTCAAGGCGGCTGTCCGTCCCAGTCTGGCTGGCTCAAGGAAGGCCTCTCTAGGAACAAAAACATTTTATAGTTTCGTGTATAATACACTGACTCTGACACAAAAGCATGAATGTGTCTGTGAAACCTCTCGACTTGGCTCAGCCACCTCCCATCTAACGGCCATCAGAAACTAAGGAACCCATCAAGCGCTACATCCGCACGTTTTCCCTCTGAGCGGAAGCGGAAATCCAAAAACTGAAATGTTTATTTCTTGGGTATGCTTAAGGAACCTGGAAGAACTAAAAACAATCACCAGAAGGGGATCCATAGGGAAAATGAAACACCACCTTAAGCAAACAAAGGTTTTTTGGCGCATGTTTTTCCATGCTTGTCTGCCTCTACACGAAACCCTTGAGGCCAGGCACATCAGGGGCTCCAAACGCCCAACAACGTTGAGCTCGATGCGAACGAGCTCGAGGCTCGAGCTCGATGCGACGTGTCTGGCCATCCAATCGTCCACAGAGAGACCTGGCGAGCGATTGGAGCTCCAAGAGATCCAAAAGGATTCAAAGAGCAACAAAACCTGACTGATGGATGGTTTCAACTAGCGCACAAAAAAATAAGCCAGTGGGATTGGGATCAATGCATGGGACTGGAAGATTCGCACACCCATTGGGGCGGCCTCAAGATGTTTTAAGTGTCAACGTGGATGGTGCGCCAATGGACCTCTTGGGACGGTCAGGCCCTTCTTTCCATTCCCCAAATCACTGATTTGGTCAAATCCTCAAATGAGTTGAAAAAACCGTTCTAAAATCATTATCCTAGGTTGAAAGCACAGCAATTCCAAGCGGTGGCTATCATGTACACAACATGCGCTCATGTATATGGTTGTATGTTGCGCATACCCTTTTACCTGCTGCATTCTTACTTACAGAGTCCAACTGTTTCAAATGTGAAGCTGAAAGTAGCACCCCGAAACAAGTTGTCAAGATATGGTTGATGGCTTTCCTATCTTAGCCTCTTTTTGTGTATACCCCGCCCCCACCCCAGCAGCTGCCCTTCTTGTTTTTCAACTTTCTTCACTCGCACGTCTGTGCGTATGTTTGCAATAGTGGGAGTAGTAGGCCCTGCTCAGCACTTGGACAAGGGATCAAAGTTGCAAAGGGGTCTAGCGCGGATCTAGCGCGGGTCTAGCGCGGACCTAGCGCGCTTTCCTGCCAGTGCATGACGCCACCAAACGTCTGTGATCAAGAACTCGCCTTGTCTTATCTCAATCAGTCGCTGCCTTTCAAAAAGTAGCTGCCTTTATCGGCGCTTTGCTGCCTTTCAGACAGTTGCTGCTCTTGGGTCTGTGCGGGTGTGTGTGTGTTGTATGACCAATCAACAAGTTTAGTGACCAATACATGTATGTGTTGTTTGTTAATCTTATCTAAATTACCTAAGTACTTTATCCGAGCGCCAAACCTAGCGGGAACCTAGCGCAACCCTGCGTTTTGCCAGCGCGACGAGGTAACAGAACCACTTTAAACACCAGAATACCAAGCGGTGGCCAAGCGATTTCTGAACCTCTGGGAACCTTCCTTACTATTACCGGGCTTTTTTCGACTCAAATGCCATAATTGCAAAGTGTGTCTGGGGTATGATCTGAACAAAAAACCATTGATCTGGACACTCCATGTTCAATAATTGGGATGCAGTTGTCTGGATCTCCCCGACTTCAGAGCCTAGTTTTTCGAAGATAGGTTCCAAGAATCTCTTTGCGTCATACCTCGCACCTGGGACGCACCAGCCATGGGGCTGGTGGTATTGGGGTAGCATTGTCTACATTCCAGTTCTGTGCGCTGTGTGGGCATCTGTGAGTTTGGAAATATTTTTTGGATGTCTGTGGAAGACACACCCTTGACCAACCCACTAACTAGGGCCCACTGCCACGTTGTCCAAAGGATTGTCTGACCCTTGTGGGACCTGCTTGCTGCGGCGAAGCAGTGTGCAATTGATGGTGGAAACCTTCTCTGATACCCCCAACTCGTCTACAGAGTCTACCGGCTGTACTGATGCCGTCTTTGGACCTCCAGCATTGATTCCGACAGGAAAAGTCTAAAACACAACCACATGCAACCCCAGACCAACCATGTATGGAATAGTTTCCTGCATTAGGGCCCAAACAAATGGGGTCAATGTCGGTGTGTGTACCTATTCCATACATTGAGTGTCTGGGAGTGATGGATAATGGATATATCTTATAATTAGTGCACCCCAACGACCCTCCCAACACTGTCTCGACACACTTCCCAGTCCGGTGCGAAACCCTCCAACCCTTCGTGAATAACTGAACAACAAGTTGGCATCGATCCACATGCCATCCAACCAAACTAACACGAGATAACGTGGAACCAAAGCAGAGTAGAAATCAGCGCAGTTTTCATTCCAAACCTGGGAACCATCCCGGCCGCCATCATCTGCCACGAGGTTTGCACTAAAACAAAGCCAATGGCACGTCTCTCTTGGTCTTTGAGTTCCTGATACGCTTCCGCGATCCTTTGGAATCGAGCTGTCGCATTCCTTGCATCAAGCAGGTTTCCTATGGGCACCACCCCTAGTGCAAAACAATAGTTTTCTAGTGTTCAAAGCAGGAAAAATGCAGGACAACCCTTGTTGAGGGGAGTGTTTCAGGAGAGAAAAAGAAGTACCAGGGTTTTGAGACTTGAAGATCTTGCGCTGCTGAACGCAAAAATGATTCGCAGCAGCGATGCGCTTGAGCGCGTGTCGTTCACCCAGCCAAGCGACGAACCAGAGCAACTGGAGCCGCAACACCAAGGACTGACTCCCTAAAGGTCCAAAGACCAAGACACGTGGTGTCCTTGACCTTGAGTACCGTAGTTTTGTATGATCAACTCCAGTATATTGACCTGCCTGTCAGGACTGTACTTTGTCAAGAACACGTCCGGATTTCTGGGCATAACGATCGCCTGCCAATGACCACAGGTTGGCACTGTTTGCAATACTGGGGCGCTGTCATGTTTTCTCCCCACCTGTCAGGTGAGGGTTTTTAGACTTTATGTCAGCTCATCCTCCGCTTTGTCCTCAACCGCGAGCGTCGGCTGGTTCCCCCACTGGACCTCAACTGCGAGGGTCGTGTGGCAGTGTTCCCCGCCGGACCTCAACTGCGAGGGTCGTGCGGCAGTGTTCCGCCAGACCTCAACTGAGAGGTTCGATGGCAATGTTCCCCGGCGGACCTCAACTGCGAGGGTCTCGTGGCAGTGTTCCCCGCCGGACCTCAACCGCGAGGGTCGCATGGCAGTGTTCCCCGCCGGACCTCAACCGCGAGCTTCGGCGGGCAGCGTTCCCCGCCGGACCTCAACCGCAAGTCAGAAGATATGCCAGATAGAACGCCAGAAAGAATGTCAGAAGATACTCAGAAACAATGTCAAAAGATACGCCAGAAAGAATGTCAGAAGATATGCCAGATAGAATGCCAGAATGACTGTCAGAAGAGATGCCAGAAGAAATGTCAGAAGATATGCCCGAAAGAATGTCAGAAGATATGCCAGAGAGAATGTCAGAAGAAGATATGCCTGCAGGGGGTACTCCCGGACCTCAACAGCACACCAGATCGCAGTGGGCACTCCCGGACCCCAACCGCAAGCGCTAGATCGCAGTGGGCACCGGCCTTCAACTGCGGACGCTCGATTTCAGCACGCGCCACCGGACCTCAACCGCAAGCGCTGGATCGCAGTGGGCAGTCCCGGACCTCAACCGCAAGTGCTATAGATCGCAGTGGGCACCACCGGCCCTAACTGTGGGCGCTAGATCGCAGTGGGCACCACCGGACCTCAACCGTCAGTGCTTGATCGCAGTGGGCACCGCCGGTCCTCAACCGCAAGTGCTAGATCGCAGTGGGCGCCACCGGACCTCAACCACAAGTGCTGGATCGCAGTGGGCACCATGGGACCTCGACCGATAGAGTGCAAGACAGAACGCCAGAATATGCCAAATAGAACGCCAGAAACTGCTCGATAACAAGCCAGAAGATATGCCAGATAAAATGCAAGAGTTTATGAAAGATAGAATGCCAGAATATATGCCAGATAGAATGCCAGAATATACTCCAGATGGAACGCCAGAAAATATTCAAATGGAATACATGTAAGATAGAACGCATGCCGGATAGAATGTCAGAGTATATGCCACATGGAATGCCAGAACACATGCAAGATAGGATGCCAGAATATATGCCAGATAGAATGTCAATGTATATGCCAGATAGGATGTCATACTCACATGTCAGATAGAATGCCAGAATATGTGCCAGATAGAATGCCAGAAAAATGCTATACATAGAGCGCAGAAAATATGCCAGGTAGAATGCCAAAATGTATGCCAGAATGTGACGCCAGGCTACAGACTGAACCTCAGGATGTATCATGCAAGATATGCACGTTCTTTGATGGCAGGATGGAATGTCGGAATACACGTCGTTGCACATACCAGGACCAAAGTCGACCATACGTCACAGTACACATGTCAGGCCTCACGGCTGGAAGAATAGAACACGCCAACACGGACGGCAGAACACAGTCCAGACACTTCCCAGCCTTTATGACAGATGATGTGCCAGAGCACAAAACCAAACTTGATGCTGGAACCAGCGTCAGAACAGTGCGTCAGTTCGTATGTGCGCCTTTGTCAGGCTAGTCTGTCAATATGCCAATACATGTGCCCTGCCTTCTTCACAATTGCCTCTCAGGGTGGGGATCACTCGAAGTGGAGTTATCTTGCATTTATTTCCTATGGTTTGTTTGAAGCCACACATACGCAAATCAAACAGTGGTTTCATGTCTTCTGCGCGGGTAGGTGTGAATTGGGTGTTGGGAACCAAGGCGGTCATGGTCAACCGCAAAAAGCGCGTCGTAGAATAACATGATTTTCATGGCTGCGCAGGCTCATGCAAACTAGATGTTCAAACCTGGATGCACTGCAAGTGGCGGATCTTGGCTTTTGTCAGGATGATGTCTTCTGCTCAAGTCCTTGTAGGCCTGTCCACGCAGTCCGCGGCCGCAGCCCTACATGAGCCCCCCCCAAAGATGTTCATCCCAGACTCTCTTGTAAACAGCCCTTGGTCCCTCAAAACGGTTGCGGTTTGAGAAGGTGGACCCGATTGGCCTGCGTTTGCTGCAGGGGAAAGCTGTTCAAGAGATCGCCAAAAGATTTCGCCGTGGCCCGCAGCTTGCGGAAGATGGCTTTGAAAGTGTTATTTGTCTGGGCTGAAGAGGGAACCTCGTTGTTCTAGATGAAGTTCAATAGCGATCGAACGAGTCCATGTTGCCAGCACCGTTCGGGGGACTGAGATGAGATGGAGTGAGCATAGCGCCTTCTTGATCTCGGGCAAAGTTGCCTGCTCCTGGCGGCCACACCGAATACGGTGTGTGGCCGAGAGGCGAGGGGGATGCGGGGTCGAAGTGTGTAGATCGATTTGTCAAAATTCCAAGAAGGTGAACTCCAAGTTCCCAAACCATCTACATATAGCAGTGGTCAACCCTGTTTTTCGTTTGCCGCAAGGTCATCCGGACGTGCTGTGCCTACACTCAAGTGTAGAGTATGGCTCTCCATGTCGGATCCATCACACCCTTGTTCTTGGTGATCGAGCTCTTTGAACGGTTTAGCCACACATTTTCTGTTTAGGTTCTGAGTGTATAGAAGCATATACATATCTCGCCTCTCCCGGAAGCTCCGAGCCTGAATGCCCAGCACTCGGTAGTGGCACTTCGGCTCCATCCAGAACCTCAGCACAACTACCGTCACCTTATGCAGAACCTCCCCCCCTGAAGCCAAGGTTAGACTATGTCCAAACTAGTAGCTGTATCGTACTTGATGTCTTGAATACTAACCATTTTCAAGCTTATATCAACCTATTTTGTGTCTAAAGCAGGGTCACATATAGTTGTCCATGTCAAAAGAGTCTATTTTCAGAGGTTGTCTTTACATGTATTCCAGATTAATACATTCCAGCTTTATCATTTGCTTGGCTTGCGGAAAACTCAATGCCCAGGTGTGCAAAGAGAAAGAGAGTGCCTAAGAGCCTAAGACCAAGTAAGTGTCTAGAATGAGCCTGTAGGAAAGCTCTTTCCAAATTTCAAGCCCACAAGAAGCACAAGAAGCACAACATGTTGTCAACACTATTTTTGAATACACAAGACAAAGAAGCAGCCAGCCTTTTTCAATCCTCGCTCAGTTTCTCCAGATGCATTGACATTGCAAGCTTCAGTTTCTCCACACCTTTCTGTGCTTTTGGTGGGACTTTGCCTTGCTTGGAGCTGAAGATCTTGCAAGGGCACCATGGAGCCCGATCAAGCTCCCCCCCCCTTTCCAGCAGGAAGTCATCTGTGTTAATTGAGCTGGCCACTGCTCAAGGCAATGTGTCACAAAGGGGAAGATGATGCTTACAACAGTGGTGGGCACAAGAAATAGCACAGAACTGTGCATCAAGAGTTTAAGCATATCTGAGTTGTCGTGTTTCAAACTGTCTAAGATTGATCGAAGCCAAGCCAACTTTCTGGTGCATTTTAGGACTGCAAAAAAAATCCTAACCCTACAGAGTTCCTACACAAACACACCACAAAGTGCCGACATGTCCCCAAACCTTGTCACCAAACACTTTACAAGTTGTCATGCGAACATGAAAAGGTTGCATCCAAAAATCAATGAGCATGAATGAAAATAGGCTGTTTACATCAACAGACTATTTGCAAGGAAGGTCGATTTTATAGATATTGCTGAAAATGTATATTCTACAGGATATGTCAATTAGAAAATAAACTGTTAGATGTTAGTAGGACATAGTCTAACCTTGGCTCAAGGGCAACACCCACGGCTGAGGTCCAAACCGCTGTCGCAAACATCGCAAAACTGCCGTCGCCGCGTGTATCGCGCGATGCAACGCGGCGCATTGGTCGCGGCGCACGATTTTTTCGTGCCTGCAGCTCGAGGAAGGGCCCCAACGAGATGTAGGTAGTAGGGGGTTGGAGGAGATGAGGTCGAAAGATCGTGACGTGTGGCTGTTCCGATTAACAAGTTGGTGATTCTCCTATCGGTTCCTTTCTGTTTAAGAACTTTTCTAATAGATCTATATATATATAGTCTTTTGATGTCGTTTGTATCTTCTTTGGATGAGTTCCGTATCAGTTTGCCGGGTTTGGAGCATATGAATGTAACATTGGAAAGCACTTAATATGTGTGATTGCAAATGCTTGAAGGAACTTCTATTTGTGGTTCCAGGGTTGCATAGACTTTGACAGCTAAAAAATGGCTGCAAGGAACATCCACACAAAGGTACTGTGGTTCTTTTATCCATGTACAATCATTTATTATATATACATTATGTATCATTATTTGGTATACATCACTTGCTCGCTTCGCTTCATCCAGCTGTGCCTTCCCTCCGCTTCCCTCCGCTTCCTCGCTCCGCTTCCTCGTCCACCCCACCGCCCGCCCGGCCCGGTCGGAAACGGCGCCTCGGTTTCAGACAAGTCCCCAGCGGCGGAGGCCTGGCGTCCAGACGATGGTTCTGGGAAGATCAGCATTGCGTGGCGGGTTGCGTGGTCTGTGAGTAACCGATGAGCTTGGAGAGAAAGTTTTGGTGGGGCCTTTTGGAGGGAACAATAAATCACAATGCCTAAAATGGGATAGAACATGGATTTGGTATCACCCAGTGGCCTATTTTGATCCACTGGGAAATTGATGGAACATGCCTATGGTATCACTCAAACTTGGAGCATGGCTCTGCAGAAGTTCGATGTTGAAGCGGGGAGAAAGCCAATGGAGTCACAAATGTTCTGGAAATCGGCGTCCTTACGGTTGGTGTGTATATATATATATATTTATTATTCATGAATACACACATATACATGTTTACAAGAAATACTTTGGGAAGCTCCCCATTTATTCTCCCAAGAAATCTTGTCTCGGTGGAAGTTGCTGAAGTTTCAGTAGAACCTCATAAATGAGACCAAGCTGCAAGCTATTGGCAGGCTCGTGTACTTGGTCATGCTTTTCAAACGCTCCTGGATTTACTCTGCAAGGAGTTGGGTGGCTGAGTTAGAGGATGCCTGTGGATGCATGGAGCTGCTGCGAGCTTGCAGCAGCTATGTTTCAAGCACCCCAACTGGTCAGCTGGTCAGCTAAAATGTAATGTCCAAGAGACCCTCTAGGTGTGCTGACCCCAACCTTGCAGTTCTTGATGAGCCATGCCGAGCCACCTGTTTGGAATGTCTTTCGTGGCAGGGGCGACATTTCGCGCACCCCCTGCGACCGAAACAAGACCCGTGGAGGCTGTTAGGGGGACACACTTTCAGACAGGTGCTGTAGAGTGCCAGAACGCACGGTCAGTGGTCGACTCTCCCATTGAACACCTGCAACAGTCAGTTTCACACAGTTGTTCTTCTCACGGACGAGAGATGAGAGACACCAATGATCGCCCAAAAAGAATGCACCCTCCGGCCAAAAAATCGCCATGCGGTCATCCCGGGAGATGACCGCAGATGACCGCGCGCGGATGACCGAGCGGAGCCCTGGAGGTTCGTTCGTTCGATGGATGGAAATCGTCTCTGAGAACCGGCCCCGAAATCGAAACCATCTCGCTGGGTGAAGACGCGCCTTCTCTTGCAGCTTCTTGGCCTGGTGGACCGGACGGCGAGCGGCGAGAAGGCGAGCGGGTCGCGGGTGACCGGACGAGTCCGGACGACGACCGGTGCAGTTGAGGTGGACGGAGAAAGCCCCAGACTGATGGGTCAATCAGCCAAAGATGGAGTGTCTGGGCAATGAACAATCGTCTTTCACCCCAGATGTCGATGTGCTCTATGTCTTTTTTTTGCAGTCTTCTTCTACCTACACAAGCATCTTCTCATATCGTCTTAAATGATGATTCCTGAATGAGCAGTTTGTTATGCATGGGCCACATACAGTTGGACATTGAATAATTTCCACGTACCAAGACCCGATCAATCCCGACCATGCTCACCCTTGGACAAAACAACAAAGATGGTGCTCAACAGGTGGGTGGTATCACCAAAGGTGTTCTGAGCATTCCTCCCAAAACCGGTCCACATTCCCTGGGACCTCAACAAAAACATACAAAAACCAAGAACAATCTGATTCGGGAGCTCACACATGGATTCTGGTGCTACTGCTAAGGCTAGTTTTTAAACAATGCAACAACATCCTCCCCTCAGAAGCTCCAACAACCCACTGTCTGTGGTTCTCCCTCTTCCAGTCTCTTCCAAAACACATCTGTATAATTACAGAGAAAAGAACACCATGTTGTTTCCTTCTGTTCTTTTCCTCTGGTTTAAACCCCAACCCAAAAACGCATAGCTTCACCCAGCTTTCACCCAAGTCAAGACTGGTCCACCCGAGGGCCGAGCCACCAAACCGAGCACCGGGTGAAGGACCCGACCCGACGACCCGGGTGACAGGTCACTCCAGTGACCTCTTTTGGCAGTCTTGGAGTCCTGGTCGGGTAAAACCAGTGGTTTCGAGCGGACAAAAAAGAATGGATAGCTGGTCTTGTTGGTGGTAAACTGGTTTTCGTTTTGGGATGTTTTGGGTGAATTTGGGCCGACCCCAAGAAGTGCGAACCCAAAAACTGGGGCATGTGTGCCTTCAGCGTCTCCTTCTGCTGCTTCTCCTTGCCGGCCTGAAGAAACGAAGTAGACAACCATGATGTGGCGAAAGAAAAATCCATGAAACAGTATCGATCTTAGCATCTCAGAGGAAATCCATGGAACATATTGGGCATGGAGTCAGCATAGCCCGGCATATAATAAACAGAACCGCAGTATCCAAACAGAAGAGAAATGTATTCCTCGGGTTGGAGTTCTTTGTGACCTCCATTTTCTTGAAAAAAACGCCAGTCATGATGGTTGTTTGGAGTCTGGCCTGAATGAGTTCATCACCGGACTAGTGACCTGACTACTTTTGATGGGGTATTGAATCCACACAATCCTTTCAGACCCCGCTTTTTAAGTCCCTTAGGCGCCCAGTCTCAAACCCCAATCCAGATACGAATGGCAAATGGGGCCACAATTCATATATTAAGCACCCCACTCCGGGCAGAACCCAAGCATGCCTAAACATGAGATCTCCAAAACCTCTCACGGATGTTCGAATCCATTCTCTGCCGAACCGATGGAATTGATGGTTTTATAGTTCATGATGCTTGATGTGCAGACAGGTATTGAAGCACCTTGCATGCTTCTGATGAGGCTCCACTCGTGGAAAGCAGAATGAGATAATGAGGCTCGTTTTCACCAGCGTGGTTTCTTTTTGAATGACAGTTGCTAATTTAAATATTCAGCGCATGAACGACATGAGAAAGCTCACAACCTGGCAACCACCTTCGCGGAACCGGTCGGCACCTCCTCGGCTTTGCGGGTGAGGCTCTGTGCTAAGAGCTCGTGCGCATGGCGTTTCGCCGTTTCCTCCTGAGGTCAAGGCCGGGAGACTAGGCCAGGCCAGTTGGAGCTCTGTTTAGTAAGGAAGAGCCATGGTGGAAAGTGGAGTGAGTGAGTGGTTGACCACCTCTTTCTGGTGTTCGGATGTACCCCATGGTCATCCAAGTCCTCGGTCCCATGCCATCCACGGCGCCATGATGGTCATCGGAGTGATTGCCCACGAACGTTCAACAACTACGTGCAGACCTGCACGCGATCCTCGTAACCATCAGCATGGTGGGGTGGGGTGGGGTGGGGTATGCTAACGTTTAAAACATGTTAAAACCACTGGGGGGGGTGGGTTGGGGTACGCTAACGTTCAAAATCTCTTGCAGACCTGCACGCGATCCTCATTACCATCCGCAAATGAGCGTGCCCAAGCGAGCGCCTGAACCCCCGAACATCCACCGAACATCCGTCTGAATTCGCCGTTCATGTCGACGTTTCAACCTTTGTTACCAATGTTTTGCATGTCCGTTTTAACATGGTTCTCCTGTTGAGCGAGGCTTCAGAACTGAACGAGCTACGCTCGTAGGAGCCACGTAGCGCATGTGGCTATACCAGAGCATGAGGATTGGATCACGTGATAACCAGAAAATATGATATCATACCGCGATGCTGGCTATTATACCGTGACCAACAACTGCTAACTGCTGTTCGCATACACCATCTAAACAGGCGTCCTTCTCGATCTCCAGGCGTTCATCCATGAACTTCTCCTCCAATTTCTCAAGCATATCCACAATGCCTAAGACGAGCGAGTCACGCTCACGCTCGAGCTCGGCAGCTTTGTATGGGGGGGTTCGGTTTCGCTAGAGTTATGAACCAGAAGCGAACCCATGGCTCGAACTTCGATTTCGATGGTGGAATGTCCAACACAGAGATCCAACATGTCGGTGCAGAGTAGTCCGGCTTCACACACTTCACGCCACCCACGGTACCAAGGTGCCTGCGCGTTCCAATGCATGAGAGACAGAAAAGGACCTTCACCGGAAAGTATGTTTGAACGAGGGGAAAAGACTCGTTTACCAGGACGCTTTCACACTTTGTATAGACTTCGACTATACTTCACTCCTTTGATCTCCATGAAACATGAAAGGACCTTCACCCGTCTCTCATCGCCGTTCAGCGCCGTCTTTCAGCGCCGTTCCCCCTGTGTTCCTCGGCCCAGCGGCCGCCGGACTGTCTCGTGGCGACGGACCCGGTCTCCTCGCCCAAGAAGCTCAGGAGTTTGTCCTGCGGGTCGCTGCGGACGGGTGAGACCCGGTGACGGGTCGGAGCGGAGGGGTCGATCGAATCGAATCGAATCGATCGATCTACGCGCCGAAGTGAACTCGTGGTTGGTGAGTGGTTCTGGAGTATACTGAGTATTGCTGTAGCAACAGTGCAGTGAACAACCTCATGTTACTGGAGTTGGTCATACCAAAACACGACTCAAGACTCAAGAATGAACAAAAATCAGGTTTTGCTGGGTCTTTGGACTTGTATAGGGATACATTGAAGTCTTAGAACATCTTAAAACCATGGGGACTTGCTTATTTGCCATTGGGGTGGATTTGCTTTCAGGGGTCAATGATGGTGTCCATATGCCAGTCCCAGTCCCCAGCGCTTTTTTCTACGCTTCGATCTCCTCAAAGTTGTCCGCCATCAGAACCTGCAAGCCTGGGGAGCTGAAATCTGTGTGATCCCTCCACACCTGGAAGAGACCTACATGGAACCTGAGTTCACCACCCCCAGTTGGGTCTGACCAAATCGTCAGACCCCGTTCACCACCCCCTCGGTCGCCCCCGCTTCGACCGGGACGGGGGACGGGTTCGGACGAGGTTGGCGACCGAGCGCCGTTTGGGAGGTCGGGCCCAACGGCGAAAGGGAACGTATACGGATTCTTAAGGGATAATAGGTATGATGTATGATGATGTATGATGATGTATGATGTATGAAAAACACACTGACAAGAGAGCCTCTCAACCAGAAGATATCACACAACGACATCAAATGTGTCGACGGTCGACTCACCAAATGTGTTTTCCGTGCTGGTGGGAGTCGGTGTGGAATTGCCCAGACGCTGCGCCCTCCTCCACTGAAAGCAGCATGGATGTTCTGAAAGACTTAAGGACCGAAGACGGGTTCCAAAGATCTAAGTTGCAAAAAAAGACTTCATGTCAGAGGGGTTGAGAGACCTGAACTAGAACTCTGGAGTGACATACAAGCGGCCTAGTATGGAACATGTTGGGCTGACTGTTGGGCTCTTCAATCTCTCAGACCTGATCGGGTCATTCAGGTGCTTCCCATCTCGTGTGCTTCCCCATCGGCCGAGCGTCCGTGCAAGCCAACCAACCCCGGTGGAGCCGGCGTTGGCAGCTTTGACGTCCACAAAACATCACAAAACCCTCCATTGCAGCATTCGAAGGGCGAGTTCTGCTGGTGCAATTTAGTGAAATTTCGTGAAGTGACCTCGAAAGGTGTGTGCCGGCCAGCCTCCCAATGGTCCGGCCCTTCTCCCGCTCGACCTGCGCCATCCCCAGCACTCCAGCGAAACCGGTGCAAGTCCCCGCCTCTGCTGGCCTTGTCCGGCAGCTTCAGTGCACTCAGCTGCACTAGAGCGCCTTCCTATGCCAAGGCGCAGCTTGCCGGGAGCAAAGGAATGCACGAAAAGGAGATTCAATCCACCGTAGGCCGTAGATCTATTGATGAAAACGAGCCCTCCATGTACCCTGCTGGTAGGTGTTGCTCTTGTTTTTGATCAACAGTGGACATTGAAGCCTAGAAACAGACTAGACCTGCATGACTGGAAAGCCGCAGCTAAAATTGGTTGCACATCCCTAGAGTTCCAACTACCCTTCTGAGAAGGAGTTTGGAATGCATTTGGAGGGTCAAAATATGTATATATAAAATTAGATAAATACCTTTCTGGAAAAAATACGACTGGAGCCCTAGGCCATCGGAGTGGGTGGACGGCATTCTGCCGCAGGTTTGTCGAGTGTTAAAGAAAAGGCATCGACAAATCAAAGCTTACCTGCTTTCTGGAATCGCCACCCCAAATTGTCTCTCCATCACCGTGCGCAGCATGCGCAGGCATAAGCGCAGCGATCCAAGCTCAGAGTCTCCAAACGATCTATCGGCGGGTGTATAGCTCAAATAGGGTGACCTCCCAGGCTCAGGCAACGCCCCCCGTTCGGAAGGTTCGGGAAATAGGCCAGTCAACCCCACCAGGGCCAGGGGGCTCCCTATTACACCCATATCCAAGCTCAGTACCTCGTATGGATCTTCTGGATCCGGAGGTCTCTGGGGGTCGCCCAATACTGGTCCGATCTGTTTCAGACTCCGTTCCCAAACGCGACCCGGAAGAGATGCCAAGCACCCAAACCGTGGATCCCTTTTCAATCAACCGGCGATATGTGAATATGTATATATGAATCAATCAATCAACCACCCCAATGTATATACATGCCAGTCCGGAGCCAGCGTAGACGGTTCTCGCTGGGACGTCTCCCCCATCCGCAAGGGCCACACGACGCCCGAAATGAACCCAAGCGAGGAGACAACGCCTCTCTACAGCCAGATGAGCAAGCAAACAGTTGCTGTGGCTGTTGCATATCCAATTAAAACTCCTTTTTGGAGAAAGGGCGTGTAGAAACTATAATCTTTTCTATTGAAGGAAGACATCACGCCGGCCGACCTCGACCCGCCTTGACAACCTGCGACGACCTGCGACACACGCGTTTGAAACCCACGAGTTCTTAATTAGGGCGCACACACACAAATCACACAGAGGAACGACTGACACCCAATGCCTCCAATGCCTCCCGCCTCGCCTCGTTCTTGGCTGTGTTGGCCTTCAACTCCTTCAAAGCCCGTCCGATGGCTTCGATGGATTCCACGTAATCCTGGCCGGCAGGGGGAAGCCGCCGCCGCTCAAATAGAACGTGTCCGGTGACTTTGTTGGTGTTTTCACCGATGGGAGGCGGGCAAGTGGATTTTCTAGCAGGGAGCTCCAAAAATATCCTGAAACAACCAGAATGCAAGTACTATTATATCATTGTATTGTACAATTGTGCTTTAGGATCCAAAGACTGATTCAAGGATAAGGCGCAAAACTCAGGCGGTGTCTGGGGGTCTTTTAATACTTAAGCCACTTAAGCCTTAAGCTTTGGTATCTTGACCAAAGTTAGATTCTACATGACTCGATCTAGTTGAATCGCCATGGTCCAAATTTGGTACGGATTCAGAAGGCCCAAGAGACGATCATGAGGGCCAGGCGGCTTGAGTCTAGACAAGCTTCAAACATGACAGATTATTATGGAGTAAATCCTTGGGGTATCCGGTATCCTTGACCTGCTTTCCGAAAAAAAAAGGAACTATGTCCGATTTCCTGCGAAGGTCGAAACGGCCAGAAGTCACTATGACACATATCGAATATTTCAACCCCCATAGACCTTCTCCACCAAATTCCCACCTCCTTTTCACGCGCTGCAACCTCCAACCCCACGGAAAGCGGAAAGCCTCCAACCACCGTCGCCGTCCAACGCCACCTCCACGTGGACCCCGCGCCTGCAGCATGCTGTCGAAGGCCTCACGCTCCTTCGAGCGAGCGGCCACGAGCGCCTGGACGCGGGGGGAAGAGCGGAGCGACTGGGGTGGTGCGTTGCGAGAAAGACGACCAACTGACAGGAATGGGAAAATTCTGCCCAACAAAATGACTCCCAAAAGTGCTAGGGGAGTCTATCCGGGAAAAACTATAGGCCGTATAGGCTATATACATGTATATGAAATGGTTATATGATATGGTTTCTGCGTTTCCCTTGCTGGACAAGCGCACGTGCCAAGTGTTTTGGGGTGAGAAATCCTGCGGACCAACAGTTCACCGACGACTTCTCCATGCGAGTAGATCATCCAGGATGTTGGACCGAAAGTCCTCTGAAGGTGATCATCCGGTGGGGTGGGACTCTTTCATCCAAAGTTCACACTCCCGGAGATTCATGAAGACCAACAAGTCTGTTGGGTGATCACAACAGAACCCCCCCTCCAAAGAGGCTTGACTCTCCGATGACTTGGAGGTCTGCACAGGAATCTGCACCTCCAACGAAGTCCACACACCAGTTTAATCGGTGCAAAACAAAAACAACACGTAAAAAGGCAACGCTTGAAAAGGCCGTGCAAAACCTCTCAAAAAATTAAAAAAGAAGTAACATAACAAAAGAATGTGTGTGTGGCCCTGGGAAACAAGAACGATGAAAAGTAGATCTTGGAAGTTGGGAAGTGAAGTGCGCCGTGCGCCGATCTTTGCGCATCAGGTTTTAAGCTGTCCTTTGATGTCCTTTGGATGTCCCTTGGACTTGCTGGGATTAGATTTCTTCATCCAAGTCCCACACGCAAAGTCCTTTGCCCGACTCCTTCCGCCCCAGATTGAACCCAGGAGGACAAACAAATATCTAGCATGCTGTGTCTCCTGCTCATCCTATGAATGCTCTCTGTTTCTAGACCGCAGCAGGTCACCTCGCTGCTGTGTGTCACCTCAATCTGTCAACTTTACGGATGGCGTTTCCTCATGACAGTCAGTGACCGACACCACGTCCCAAAGGGTTTGGGGGGATCGCCATCGCCTGATTCATCGCTTCTAAGGCAGCCTTTTCGGCTGTCTAGATCAATCCCAAACACTCCATGAGACTGGCATATTTACATTAACCCCTGAAACCACCCCAATGTAGCGGTAACTATTCCATACATGGAGTGTCTGGGAATCATGCCCGAATATGACCGACAATGGGAACAAGCAGAAGGGAAGGGGTCAGAGCATATCAGTGCCAGGTACCATGGACTTGGTTGTCCACAACTGGGGGGTAGACCCCCTCTATCGATCAACCAACCAATAGTAAAAGGCCATCTGTGGTCCATCTTCTCAAGCTGTGAAGTGTCAGGCCTTGGCTTCACCCGAGGATTCGAACCACCATTACTTTACAGTCAGAGTCATAGCCTTTAATAACAAACAACCATTGTCTTACATAAGAGTTTTAAACCTTTAATACCATGGTCGTTCCCTTATTTGCAACTGGTCTTTTTTCATGCGAAACGGGTCGAAACCCAACCGGCTTAGGCGAACGACCAGCGGTGGCCCGGTTCCCGAGGTCAGTGGCGGTTCCGCCTCCTTCTCCGCCGAGGCGGATTCCAGGTCCTTCGTATGTTCGGCGATTTCCTCTGCCAACCTGTGAGGGTCTGACGGTGAACTAATCGGTGGATCCCAGGCCAGAAATTTTGGAACCCAAAACATGACCTCTATTTTGATAGGAAAATGACCACAATTGGGTTGCTTGGTGGTCTAGAGATCACTCAGGGTCTAGGTATATAAGGAATCAGGGTGCTTTGCCTGGATCCAAATGGCGACGAAAAAGCATCACCCTATGGGAAGAACATCACACCGCAAAGAAACACGCAATGTCAACCGACCCCCCCCGACGATGAACGACCGCACAATCAACGTGGGTACGTACCGACCTTGCGACCTGTCGGTACGTACCTGTCTAAGACATCTTGGGGAGGGCCAGTGCCAATCGAACCTCTGAAACCACCAAAAATAAACGTTTGAATGATGTGTTTCCCAAAATAAATAAAAGAAACAGCTCGTCGAATCGCCCTGAACCGGAGTCCCCAACTCTTCGTTCAGACCAGGGTCTTCCAGTGCGGGCACCGGACTTCTGGCGATTCGGAAAAACGGCGTCCGAGTCCTGTGGTTCGGCAGGAGGTGGTGGTGGTGGTGGTTGAACGGGACAAAGAAACGCGGCTGGAATCTGAACTTAGACTTATACATACACCAACTCCTACATTGAAACATCCCTTTTTCAACGCACCCCAATCTAATTATAGGCTGTATGAATATGGGATAATATGATGGGATCATGATGCCAGCTGTTGACGAATTCTTTGGAACAGGTTCTGCAAATGATGATCCACACATTGTGTCTCCAATGGGACTCGGCCTTGGACCCGTTCGGGCTCCAAAGCCCCTCACATCTTGAGGAGGTACTCTCTCCCGAAAGGTCCTAACATGGAAGTGGAAAGCTGCCGGATCGTAGCAGGAGGACGTGTCTTTTTCCATGTGGGTGTGCGTCAAACCCCGGGTCTCAGGTGAACATCGCGCACCTTCCTGTTCCATAGGGTATGGAACGGATCCCTTGTTCCATAAGGTATGGAACAGGTATGGAACGGGGTATGGAACAAATTGTACCAAAAAACCTGACGTATCATCTCAGTCCCGTTTCTCACGGTAAATGTATTTCAGCAAGCAAAGCGCACGTTTTGATTGAACCTCGAACAATTGTAAACTAGGAATCCATAGGTATGGAACGATGGGTATGGAACGGCAAACAAACATGTTTTTCCACAGGTATGGAACGGGGTATGGAACGAGATGTTCAAGAGTACATGTTCCATACCAAAACGTTTTGACTCTTGGCCATGTTAGTGAGTCACAGTGTATGTACTTACTGTGATATATAGACTGTTTGCTCGACCCACAAACCCACCCACCCCAACTTCTGAGAAGGGCCTTTTTGGGGGAGGCTCCAAGAGTACATGATGTACATGGATGGTTTCAAAGATGTTTTGAGAGTCAATGTAGGTTGTAGGTTGTAGGTTGAGCAGTCCACCTCAAGTCTGCCTGGAGTGCGCTTGGCTTGGAAAACCTGGGGCCCCACTCCCCTCAACATCTGGAGACACCGTGTAGAAGTACCATGCCACGAAAACGCCCGTGTGTTCCAGATCGGCGATGCTCCAATGGAGACACCGTTACTGTGATTCACCTTTCAGAATGTTTCAGAGGTTCGATGGCAGAATCCCCAATGTCGCGTGGTTTGTAAGGACCCCAAGTCTGTCCAAGACATCTAACCGGGTGCCAGTGCCATCAAAGCTCTGAAACCACCGGTCACCATATACCAAGGCCCCCATATTTCCTAGCTAGTCTCTTCATTGGCCCCCCCCAGATTCACTGAGGAGTCCATGGATTCCACCCCCAACCCCTGCTCAGTCCTTGGGGTGTGGTCGTTGGAAGGTCGTTGGAATGTCCAAACAGGTGGTGTTTTTCACACCGCGGTGGAAAACCGGAAGCGGTGCTGTTGTTTTTTCTCCACGGATGAGCCAGAAACAACGGATCATTTGCTTGTGATACACTGGAACAAACATGCGCAGCTGGATGTGTTTTCCATTGAACTCATTCTGATGCCGCAACATGATGCCAGACCCACATGCAGGAAGACCTACCTGGTGTCAGTCGCTACGGCGAAGAGGCTGGAAGGACACATATCCCAAACGCTCCATGTCGGATGAGTAACATACATTCACCCCTTGACAGTCTCTCCCATCCACGGGTAAGGGGTAACTATTCCAGTCCCATGCAGTGCGTTTTGTTTTTCAAGAAGGACAGTGATATCATGTGATATCCAAGCGAAAAACACATGCGAAAACACACTCCACAGCACTGGAATTCCAGTCCCATGAAAGATTTCGGCCCTTTTTTCGGTACCCCGTGGAGTGTTGGGTACCGCACTTGGAGGCATCAGACTCTCCCTTCTCCACTTGGGCGGTGAGGACCTGGTGCCCGTTGGTCGTCGGTGTCGACATTCGACTGGTGAGACGGACTGGTGAGACAGAGGTTTTAGTATACTTTAATACATCTCAGTCAATCCTTTTTGTGAGAAATGTTGTTTTTGTTGATGGTTGTTTTTTCATGTTTTTTCATATGTCAATCCTATATGTCGATCATTTATGGTTCAGTGAGACGTCAAACCGTTTGTTCAAGTCCTTGATATATATCCATACATTTCAGTGAATCCGACCCAGAAATTGGGTCGATGTCCAAACCATTTGGGGATCCAAACGCTTCGGATGCCTTTCCCGAAGGAAAAGGTGAGGCAGATCGAAGCTTGTGAGAGGCGGAGAGACGCGGGGGAGTTCTACTGGAGACCTCGGGAGACGACTTAAAGGGGGAGCATCGTCATTGCCCCAATGCTATGGATTGTTGCTGTTCATAATGGTCATTGCCCCAAATCCGCCACGACAATTATAGAGGGTGGCAGTGATTTTTTTGAAGTGCTTAGAAACTCCATCAAAACACTCCACTTCCACCACCACCACCACCACCACCACCACTTCCACCACTTATTTATTTGAAAAGTGGATGGTGAATCTGAATGCTCCAAGGGTGTCGTCTCTGAGGTATCATCTTCGACGAAAAGTCTGTGTCCTTCTCTCATCTTCTTCCCCCCGTGCTTTCGGTGTGCTTTCTGCATGTCGCAAAGCATTCAACCTTTCCCAAACCATCCATCTATGGAATAGTTGCTTACATTAGATGCATTTTCCTCGGGTCAATCTATGTAGCTCTTCCAGTCCTTTGCTTGACGGGCCTCCACCTTGTCCTTGGCATCCTGAATCACTCGCACCTTTTGTGCCTCCGTGGTCTCGCAGAATTGCCTCGGCGGTCTCGCCAAAAATCGCATTGGTTTCTTGAGAAAAAAACACGAGATGTTGATCTGCAAATGTGAATTTGGATGCCTGGATGACAAGTCTTGGTGAGCTTGTGCTCGGAGCCACTGGCTTCTTTTCTTAAAATATCAGCAACACCTCGCACCATTCTCTCTCAGTGGTTCGAATAGATAGAAGGCATGGGATCAATCCAATTACAGCCAACTGCTCTGTAGAAGTGCAAGAACCCGATTGGATGGCATTACACCTTGGCTTGCACACATACAACGGACCTCTCTCCAAATAGGGATCCTCCCCACAAAATCCCACTGAATTGCAAGATTTACTCACTGTCACTATGAGACCTGTCTTGCAGATTCTTATGGGAAAGGGCCTGCCTCTCTTAGTATCTTTGTCTTTCTGAATGCTTGTAAGTAGTCAATTGCCACACGAATTAAGCCAATAACTGCGCGACGTTCCATTCTCTTCCACTCCTCGATTCTTGCTTTTTCTGATCCTGGCCAAAATAATATCCTAAATAATGAGGATCCACCACTCCGATCTCAGAACTCCGATGAACACCACTTCAGAAAACCACCAAACCGGACCATTCGAAGGACGCCCGTGAACACCGGCGTCCCAAACACTGCCTTACCCTAGGGCTCCAACGATATCCTTAGAAGGTGGGCACAGACCCCCCCAAACCACCCACCCCAGTCCCTTCTCAGGAGGTAGTTGGAGCCCCCGGGTGTTCGAGCTGGACCGAGCTGGTTGGTTTGATCGGATTCGACCCAAACGTGTGACATACGTCGAAACTGAAGTCGACCGCGGCGACCGGGGGCACCCATTTCTGACACCAAAAACTCGTTGTGAAGCTTTTTATGGACCTTTTTGTCAGGTGAAATCCTTTTTTTGGACCCTGCTGAAGTTCGACTGAAGAGTCTTGCGAAGTTCGTGTAGACGAAAAACTGCCCATCCCAAGCAAAATGCGCTGCGCAAACTAAATGCTGTGGGAAAAGGATGGAAAAGGTGATTTCGCTGAGGCGAGATATTTGGGTTGAGAGACTTGTAAGCCGCAAACTGCACCTTTTCGTCCTTCTTGGCCTGCGACGCCACTGGGCGACATTCGTCGACGGAAAATTGGACGGTCCCAAACGTGATGGCAGTTTCATGATGGGAGATATCTGAGGAAACAACCCTGCAAATATGGGGATGGATTGTTCAACCATGTTCAACCATGTCCGCCTGACCAGTCCACCATGTAGCGAAAGACCTACTGTCGGTAGGTCGTGCCCGTTCAGTATCCTGGCACCATGACCCAGAGCCATATGGGTCATGGGGGTCCCACAAAGCCCCACGGCCCCAAGCACAAGCACAGACCATGGCTGGAGGAAAGCTCGCCAGGTAGTAAATTTCTGTTCGGTTTGATGGGTCAAACCACGGTTGCCCGGTTTTGACCCATATCCATATGACCCCATCTGCTTGGAAACCAAACCAACAGAAGTGACTGATTCAAATTTCAAAAACAAACAACCTACGGTAACCGTTGATGCAAAGCTTCTAGGTGGTCTTGACCTACGGACAAAATGAGGTAAGGTGCTCAACCCGCCCGCGCCGAAGGTGCTGAGGCGTTGTCTCAGGTCCTAGAATTGCTAGATAGCACATAGCTTAGGCTTTAGCTTGGAGGGGGCGAGGGTCCTATTTTTGTTCTAGAATGTTGTGTTCTTGATGCTCTTTAAAAACCGACAAGGAATCAGCAAGCCATTGGCGATGTCAGCTATGCTGCCCGAGTGAGACTGTCTTTTTGACATCGTGTGTGCTTGCACTGCAGCCTTCCCGAAAGAGAAGCGAGAAAACTATTGATTTTGTGAATTATGCCGCTCGAGTGGATTTGCGTCGTTGAAAGCGTGTGCTTTCGTTGCCCCTGCGGATTTCCCTATTGAGGCTGATTGAGTACAACACGCCTAAGATAGGTACTAGCGTAGGCGATATCTAAGACGCAACGTCGGGTGACGCACCAATCGTTGTGGTGTGTCTGACTCTTGTGTTAACAGACTCTTGTGTTGTTTCCGTGACCCTCTTGGACCCTCATGGTACTTCTGACGCTTTGAGCCCTGCAACTTTCTTTCCCGGCTCAAAGAGCTCAAGTATCCGTGCGGGCGGCTTCGCCGCGGTGTGAATATATCTATCTATCTATCTATCTATTAAATCTACTTGAGGCCAAGGGGGGGG